ATAACCTTGAGTTAGTCTTGTATCTCAGAGCTTTAGTTTCCTTATTTGTATCAGGAGGGTTCTGGAGCAGAATTTTAACTGGGAAATTTTCTGGAAATTTCTATTTTATTTTTCTCCATGCTCTCTTGCTATCCCCTAGAGGTATCTGCTTTAATATAGTTATGTCTCAATTTTCCCTTGTGAAATCTGTATCCAGGTACATTTTAAAAACATGTTTATTCATGGAGAAGTCATGGCCTATTAGAGAGGTAAAGAAATAAATTTAGTAAGTACAGTGTTTTAAGATCTAGAAAATGCCCATACATGGTGGGCAGCACAGTACTTGCTGTTTCATTCAGACCTGTTTCAGTGTGTGTGTAAGAGTGTGAGGGGGGTATTGTATGGGGGGATCACTGAGTAAGAAGTAGAAATTTCATTCTCATGGCCTAAATCAAGGAAGTTTAAAAGTATATTTTACAGTGTAAAGATTTCTTATTTTTGTCTAGTCACTAAGTCAGATGCTAGACAACTCATTCAAACCATGGAAATAAGACAGTCTCTCCAGGGTGGTCAGGCCCAACCACACTTTCCAATCCTTCATTATAAGAATTCAGGTGGGATCCGGGAGCACTTACCTGGATCGCTTAGAATTTTCTGGGTAGGGCCACTGTACTCTGTTCTCTTAAGACACAAATAGCCTGTCTGTACAAGCTACCAGTGCAAGGATTCTCTAGCCAGCCCTCTGGAAAGAGCAAAGAGGAGGGCCCAGCTTACCTCAAGGCCAACATTACAATGCTCAGAGGACCCTGAGGTCCCAAGGGCCATGCAGGACCACTGAGGAGCCCCTGCTATCCTGCAAAGTTCCATTTGGAAGGTGTTGATTAGTAAAACTATTTCCCCTTGGGATTGGCATGCTGGTTTGGCCCTTATGTTCTGGACAGGAAGGAAGAAGTAAACCCCCATGTGTCTTCTGCTTTGAACTTACAGGTTCCCAGGAGTCTCCAGAGTCAAGCTGCAGGTAGACCTTGAATGTTCTTGGCCTAGATTTTGAAATGTGAATTTCGAGATTTCCCATTTTGCTCTATTTAGATTCAGATGCAGGTGGTGGTAAAAAACAGTATGCATTCACAGCACACAAAGTGGTGTTTTGGTGCATGCAAAGTGAAGTGGTTAGATTTAGTACTTGTATCTATCACTTTATGTGTGTGATGTTGGTGTCGCTGCTCCCAGGCCTACACTGCCTGCTGACCTGAGGTTTACTGCGTGGGGTGATCACGGGCTATTTCTGGAAGGCTTTACTATCCTGGCCTAACTTCCTGGCTCCCCTGAGCCCTCATCAGTGCCTTCCCTTTCTGGTAGAGTACTTTAGCCTTGCCTCACCCAACTAGTCCTTAGGACTCCACAAGACCTAGATCATCTAGTTGAGCAGTTTTACCTCCTAGCAGATAAAGAAACGTGTTCCCCACTATCAACTTGGGAAAACAGTCTGTGAATACAGAATGAGGTCAACATAACAAGTCCAGCTGAGGCCTTTAGAAATCAAGGGAGCTAGAGACTGCCACTGAAAGAATACTTAGTGAACAACAGCCAGTATCTAGATACTACCCTGGGATGGGGAAGAGCCAGGAAGTCACAGGCCTCCAACAGCTCCAGACCCTCCATTCTAGAAGCAAGTGCAACAGGAAAAACAGCGTGTACAATGAGTAACTACAACTGCTCTTGGAAAGTCAGGAGAACTTGTACCAACGGGTCCCCTGTTTTGACACATCAGGAAATGCTTTTCTGAGGAAGCCGAGATAGGAGGAGAAAGAGTCATTTTGAATGACATGATGCTTAAAAACCAACCCTTATTAACTGGTAAGAAAGAGAAACAGATATGTCACATAAAATTTAGGATTTTGTCTTTGGTTGAAAAGACAGGTGGGCAACATTCTTACTTGCCACAGTGGACTACAGCTGATCAGGGAATGCTCCTCTACATAGAAAACCCTACCCCACCACACTGCAGACTCTACCTCTCTCTCTCTCTCTCTCTCTCTCTCTCTCTCTCTCTCTCTCTCATTTCCGTCAGGTCCCTGGACAAGGAACTCTGAGCTGCCTGGGTCTGAGGACATTGTATGTGACAGGGAGAGGAGAGGTGCCTGTGAAAGCCCAAAGATGGAGAGAAAGAAATCAATAAGATACCTTAATTTAGTCCTCACGACGTTTCTAAAAGTAACATGGATAAATGACTTGGCCTAAGTCACATGGCTGGTAATAAGCAGGTCAAGAGGTCAATCCCAGGTGTCAGCTCCCCTATGGCCCCACAGGGACTCTTAGGGAATGGGGTATGGCAGATGACTGAGAGGAAACACTGGGGGAGAGGGCCTAAGACCTATGAGCACCAGGGATGGTCAGGGACAACGTTTCTAAGAGTAACATGGATAAATGACTTGGCCTAAGTCACATGGCTGGTAATACGCAGGTCAAGAGGTCAATCCCAGGTGTCAGCTCCCCTATGGCCCCACAGGGACTCTTAGGGAATGGGGTATGGCAGATGACTGAGAGGAAACACTGGGGGAGAGGGCCTAAGACCTATGAGCACCAGGGATGGTCAGGGACAGATCAAATGATGTCATATTGGACAGGCCACGTATCTGAGGTATGCTAGGACAGGGACAAAATGGAAAATGGCTTTTTAAGACATTTGGATTGTCCGGAGGTGACTAGGTAAGCAAGAGAGGAGAGGAGAGGCAGTCACTAGAAATTCCTACCAGCAAAGCTACGTGTCCTAACTGTACCTGTCTTCTGAACACAAACCTGCAGGACAAAACATTCATCCAAACCACTGATACAGGCATTCAAAGCTGTGCAACCTCCTCCAACCTTCCCCTGCAGGCTCCATACACAGTCCTGTTAGGCTGGGCCCATCTCCTACCGTAAAGCAGACAAATGACTCCCAGCACTAACACTGTGTGGTTCCAGTCTCCACCCTCTCTTCCTCACACTTGGGTGTCTCACTCAGGAACCTTCACCCTAACCTGATTGTCCTAATTCTTTCTGCCTCTGTGACCCTTGACAAAAGATTTCAGTAATAGGAATCCATCTGCCATGGCCTCCAGATCCCATCTGGAAACCACACATTTCATTACCTCAGACACCAGCCACACAGCCTCCACACCTGGCTTGAAAGAGCTCCTGGTTAGCAGGATATAGTGTTCAACAGATAACCTCAAACCTACAGTCAGGACAATGCCACAGGATTGACTTTATAACTGAAGGAGCGGTTTGGTAGTGTCATCTCTGAATGCCCAGGATTTCTTCCACACAGGGCCTACTCCAGGCCTTCTCAATAGATCACTCAGGGGTTCATGAGAAGGACACACATCTTCTCATATTCCCAGCCATGAATTTTTTACACACTTCCCCCAAACCCTGCAGAAGTCAAGGACACACATCTTCTCAGATCCCCAGCCATGTATTTTTTACACACTTCCCCCAAACCCTGCAGAAGTCACCAGTCACAAGAAGCCTGTAAATAGAAAATGCATCCAAGGTTCCTTGAAGTTAACCAGATGTGCCCAGAACCAGCTTGTTTCATGCTGAATGGGAACTTCATGAGCTAAATCAATTCAGTAAAGAACTTGAGCTGTTTTATTATGGAGCTGGTTTGCAGTTTTCTTACTGACTTCCAGGAGTGACTAGTATAGTTGATTTCATGATAGTTTGATAACAGGTTGGTAGGTAGGTTTCTCTTCTCAAGCCTCTGCTTGCTGTATCTGCCCAAATGGCTCACCTCTCGGTGGACAGCAGTCTTTATTTTAACAACTCCAAGGTGAGGAAACCACTTCCTCCAGGGGCCCCTCCCCAGATCCCTGGCAAAATTCACCTTTTCCCTGTCAGGGAAAAGGACTTTCTCTCAATGTCAACGGCTCTGGCAAAGCTACTTCCCTTCTTATGATTGACCTCCAGTCCCTGTCCACTGCCAAGTGCACAGTGTGGGTCTGCAGTCACTATTGAGGAAATCTCAGGTGTCCCCCAGCATCTGTTTCTCCTCCAGATCCCACATCCTCTGCTCTCCATACTCCATGGCCTTGACCTCTCTCCAGGTGTGTGCCAGCTCTGTCTGCTGATCTGGGTGGGAAGATGGTTGAGTTGGGACCTTATTTCCCCTAAACTTTTGTCCTTATGACAGTCCTAT